AAGCAGCCCGGGGGGTTCCGGGAGAGGGACTCCCAGTAACCGATGACTTCCAGGTGGCTCAGGGGCCGAATTCTCAGGGCTGGACAGGACCTCCTGACTCACAGGAGCCTCTGGAGCCAGATGCACCAGCACCCCATCCAGTGGGGTCCCCCCATCTCACTTTCACCCCAATAACTCCCAGCCTCCAGCTCAGGGTAGCCACAGTGCCTCCCTCCCCAGGGGAGCCTGGAGGCCAAGTGGGACAGCGGCCACTTAGCGATGAGGGTCTGGTTGCTGAAGCCAAGTCCAGGGTCTCAGAGACACCCCCCTCAGCCCACCAGGGTCCTCTCCCCACTCTTGCACCCGACTCAGGCACTCTCAGCAGGCCAGTGCTGGAAGAACAGGATGGAGGTGAGGAAGGCTTCCAAGAGGCAGCTCAAGGCCCCATCTTAACCCAGCGGGATCCAGCAGCCTCTGTGATTGGCTTGGTACCCCCAGTTGAGGTGGCATCCACTCAGGAGCCTAGGTTCCAGCCAGACCTGGCACTGACCAGAAGGCTTCCTCCTGCCAAAGAGCTGCCAGCTGAGCCCACCGAAAAGGCTAAAGGTGGGGAGATCGGGGCAGTCAGTTTTCCAAGTCCCTCACCGAAGGTGGCTGACTTCCCTTATGTTCAGGGCTCCCCAGGACCCCAAACTTCGGGTCCTCCAGCCTCAGAGACTCCTCCTGAGCAGCCCAAGCCAGGTAAGTACCAAAGTGAGGGTGCCATGCAGAGCTGGGGAATTGCGGGGGGGGGGGGGGGGAGGAGGCAGTGTTCCATGGCAGCTGGATGCCCCCGGTTCTGTGTGCCCTCTGGCCCCGTTGGGTCCCATTTTCCTTTCTGAGGGTGACTGTGCCTCCCTCCTGGGGGATCAGACTTTGGGGACTGCTGGAGGGGTCAGGCAGAGTGATGACTGCCTTTGTCATTTCAGAGATAGCAGCAATGAACGGGGCGGACCCCATCTCTCCCCAGAGGGTGAGAGGAGCAATGGGGGCCTCAGGAACTCCCAAGTCCCTCATCCCTGGCCCCTCGGACCCGGGCCCACCTACAAACCAAACAGAGAGTCCTGTGAGGGTCCTGAAGCCAGGTGAGGGCATGGCTGGGGGGGTTGGGGAGAGGGATACTCTGCTACATTAAGAATTGTGTGAGGTCCTGATGGGAGAGAGGGGAGTCAATGAGGACAAACAGCTGGTAAAGGAATTGGCTAGGACCTCCTTCAAACAACCTGGGGTAACAAACTAATGCTCACTGGGTACTTTGGGAGAAGCCCTTTGACCTTTTGGGGCTAGAATGTTCTTAAATGAAACACGGATGTATCTTTAGTGGTGATCCTCCAACACTGGCAAATCACTCAAAGAGCTTTTTAAAAAATCCCCACTGAATTCTGATTCAGTTGGTCTCCAGGTGATTCTAATATTAAGCCCATATTAAGAACTGCTGGTATATTGTTAATAAAGATGGAGCTCACATCCTTTTCACACTCATTGAGTGCACTATGCTAAACATTCAATCCTTACCACAACCCAGCGAGGTAGGTGCTGCTACCATCCCCATTTCACAGATGTGCTTGGAAAAGTGAAATAACTGCCCAATCACATTAGGGAATGATGTAAAAATCAAAAATATTTTTACCAAAGGGCTATTATAACAATGTTGTTATTGCAGACGACGCCGAGGAGTGGCCCGGGCGCCCCCAAAGCCACCCCCCAGCACCCCCGGTCCAGGCCCCCTCGACGTCCCGCCGGGGCCTCGTTCGGGTCACCACGCAGCGCGCCCTGGGACAGCCGCTGCCTCCGGAGCCCTCCGCCAGCTCCACGGCCCCCGCCCCAGCCGCCTCCAGCCCGCCGGCCAACGCCACCGCACCCCCCCTGCGCTGGGGCCCCCTCCGGCGGGTGCTGAGCTTCTCCTGGGAGCTGCACGTCTATGGGGTGGGGGTGCTCTTCCTGCTGCCGGCGCTGCTGGCCACGGCCTCTCTGGCAGCCGCCGCTACGGGGCCCTGGCTGGCGCTGGCGGCGGCCGTGCTGGTGCTGCTGGCATCGGGGCTGCGGGCTGCCTACATGCTCGCCGACCCCTACGGCTCGCAGGCGCGGCTGGGCGTGCGCGCCGGCCTGGTGCTCTACAACCTCCCGTTCCCCTTGCTCCTGGCCGCGCTGGCGGCCCTCACCCTGCTGGGCCTGGGCGCGGGGCTGCCCCGGCGGCTGCAGAGCCCGCTCCTGCTGGGAGCAACGGCGCTGGCTCACGGCGCGGGGCTGCTCGCTACCGACCTGCTGTCGTCCACGCCGACGCTCAACCTGGTGGCGCAGGGCCTGTCGTGCGCCTGGGGCGCGGCCGTGGCCCTGGGCGCGCTCTGCCTGTGCCGCCGCCGCCTGCTGGACGGGCCCCCGCGCGGCGGCCGGGACGCCAGCCCGGGGCCGCGGCTGCTGGCCGTGGCGGGCTCCCTGGGGCTGCTGGCTAGCGGGTTGCAGCTGGCAGCTGCCCTCTGGCTGTACCCGGGCCCGGGCCGCGTGGGCCGCTTCTCCTGGGCCTGGTGGGGCGTCCACTTCTGGCTGCGCCTGCTGGAGCTCACCTGGGCCCTCGTCTTGGCGCTGGCGGCCGCGGTGGCGGCGCGGCCCCGGCCGCCCACGGAGCACGCGTGCTGGGCCAAGCTGCTGCGCCTGGCGTGCCCCGCGCCCCCCGGCAAAAGCGAGGTGCCCGAGCGACCCAACAACTGCTACGCGGGGCCCAGCGGCATTGGCGTGGGCGCAGGCAGCCTGGCCATCAACAAGAGCCTCATCCGCAACTCGGCGGCGGCGGCGGCGGAGGGGGCGCCGCCCGCCACCCCCAGTTCAGGCGCCTGGGGCTCGGCTGCGTCGCTGGGCCGCGGCCCCCAGGGCGGCCCGGCGCTCTCCCGGAGCAGCGTGGGGCCGGCTCCGTCGATGAGCGAGCTGGACCTGCGGCCGCCGTCCCCCATCAACCTGAGCCGCAGCATCGACGCCGCGCTCTTCCGAGAGCACCTGGTGCGAGACAGCGTGTTCCGACGCTGCGGCCTGCGCGGCCTCGCCTCCCCGCCGCCAGGGGGCGCGCTGCGGCCGCGCCGGGGCAGCCACCCGGACACCGAGCTGGACGGCGGCGCGGGCTCCCTGCTCCGCGGCCGCTGCCGGTCGCTCAGCGACGTGCGCGTCCGCGGCCCGGTCCCGCCGCACGTACTGGATGAGCCGGATCGGGCGGCTTCTGGCAGCTCCGTGGACAGCTTCTCCCGGGGCTCGCTCAAGATCAGCTGGAACCCGTGGCGCCACGGGCTGTCGTCGGTGGACAGTCTGCCCCTCGATGAGCTGCCCAGCACGGTGCAACTACTGCCTGCCCCGGCCCCTGCAACTGCTCCCAGCCGACCCCTACGGCCCCGGAGTGAGGCCCAGCCTTGCGGCAAGCCAGGGGACTCTCGCAGCGCCTCCAGTGACACCATTGAGCTCTGAGCCCACCCCACACTGCTGCAGGACCAGCCTTCGGTGACCATATGGCATGGCTGACTGGGACATTGGAGCCCTTAAAAAAAAACCTGGCATCCTGGGGCCTGAACCTGATTGCGGCCCTGGAAGCAGCCAGGAGTGACCCCCAACCCCCACCGCGTTTTTTGTTTTTTAAATATCTATTTTTTCCCAGCAGGTATTTTGCACAGAGGCTGTGATTTATGCGGGATACAGGGTGCACATGCATGGATTTAGGTATGGGGAATGGGGTCCAGGTGCCCCAAACTCCCCTCCAGATTCCCCGTTGTGGAAGGATGAGGCTCGCTTGTCTAGATTGAATGTCCTCTTTGTGCCAAAGAAATAAACCCTTAGGACTTGGCTCCTGCCTTCCTCTGGCTATGCCAGTATCCTGTTCAGAGAAGAGGTAGGGGCCCCACCCCCCAGCAATTCCATGTCCAGTCCAGGCAGGGGGACTCCAAAGGAAAGGGCTCTTGGACCCTTCCCAGCTTTAGAAATAAGGCTATCAATATTTTATTGAACTTCTATTTGTTGTACACTGTCTTCGGCTCTTCACATTCACCACCTTATTTAATTCTCATAATAAGCCTGAGTGGGAAGCATTATCAAGCCCATTTTATAAATGAGAAGAGTAAAGTTCAGAGACAAAAGTCATTTTGTTCAGGGTCCTTTGGCCCAAATGATAGCTGATGTTGAACCCAAAAAGTTCCATCCCTGAGGCTGTGGGTCCTCCTCCCCTTCTCCTAACACACTTCAGGGCCAGCCCTCTCCTCCTGTTACTCCTCCACCAGGGCAGCCCGCCATTTCCCAGGGCTTCAGAAAACCTCCCCAAGGGTCAGGGCCTCTCAGTAGCTTAGGCCAGTGGTCAGCAGACAGTTTGCAGCTCTGTTGACTAATGAGTTTGCCTACTGCTGTCATATACCACCCTTTACCTCTTTGCATACAATATGCCACAGTTGCCTAATCCTCACAGCTTCCAGCCACACTGTAACATTTACTCTAGTCCAGTGGTGGGCAAACTCATTAGCCAACAGAGCAGCGAACCATGGGAGTGGGAGGGCAGACAGTAAAACTGAAGCTTCTCTGTTTTCCAAGTCCTTTCTTTATTTCCTGAGATGAATAAATAAATCAGTGGCTGAGGGGCGGGGGAGGTGAATACGGAACAGTAGCTGGCAGCATGCAGCTGGCAGGAGGAGGCTGCGATGGACCCACCCCTGCAGGAACCCACCGAAGCTCACTAGCAGCCACCATAAGGAGACACTTAAAACCCACACGCATTAGGAAGCCTGCCCAGTCTCCCCAAGGCCAAGGTCCTATGGCATCCGTTCTGAGGGCTCCTTCTGCGTCCCAGGGGCCTCACCTGCCCAGGTCCGGGTGCCTAGGCTGCTCCGTAGGTGGGTAGGGGTTACTTAGCCCACTCTCAAAAACAAAGCAAGCCGCCTTGAGTGTCCAGGCAGGAGAGAGAGGCCTGACTTTTGGAGGCAGGCTGCTGGGAGGAGACCCTGCAGGCAGGGCAGAGATTATCTGCCCTTGATGAAGCCTTCCAGCACACGGTCACTACGCTCCGACAGCCAGTAGCCAGTCATGGCCGCCACCGCTCCAATGAAGATGGCGGTAAAGACCAGATCACCCTTGGCAGCCAGCGTGGCCAGGGCACAGATGATGACACCGAAGAACATCTGCTGCAGCACCACCAGCTCGTCCTCGGTCATCTCTGAGAAAAAGCCCGCTGACTCTGCGGGGAACGAGAAGCACCCGTCACTCCTCCCCCATTCCCAGAGTCTCCCACGCGCCCACTCAATGCTGCCACGTGCCTGCGAGGCAGGCCAGCACGTGATGTCATTTACTGCTGAGAACCACGCTGAGAGGGGCCGTTATTATCCCACACCAAACAGGAAACTGAGGCTCAGAGAGGGCGAAGAGGGTTGCCCAAGGCCACGTGGTGAGCAGGTTGTGACAGAGCACGTGCTGTGTGTACCAGCCCAGCCCCAGAGCCAGACCGCCAGAGTTCAACACCCAGCTCTGCGACCTGCTTGCTGTGTGGCCCTGGGCACATTGCTTCATTTCTCTGCATCCTCGTTTCCGCTACGGGGATGAGAAAGATCCCTGCAGCATTGGGTTTGTTTTAGCGGTAAAGGAAGTCAATACATGCAACGTGCTTGGCACAGTGCCTGACATGTGGTAAGCGTTGTGGAAGGTATCACTGTTATATCATGGTAGCTGTCCATCTCGCTACCCCATGGCCTACAATAGCTCTCAGGAGGCTGGGCTAGGAATGGTCCCATTGGACAGACGAGGAAACAGGCTAGGGGAGGCAGAGTAATGTGATGCCAAGTCCTATTTTCTTCCTTCCCAGGGAGGTGTGAGGCCACCAAAAGCTACTCACGGTAAGATGTAAGCCTCAGGTCTCGGGCAGCCTCACGGGGCGGAGGGGTTGTAAGTGCTCAGAGAACGGATTTGGTGGGGGCCACGTGGGGACTCACCTGGGATCTGCTCCTTCACACAGATGCCCTCAATCTGCTTGTAGCCCTCAGCACAGACACAGCGGTAACTGCCCTCGGTGTTCTCACATTGCTCGTTCTCTCCTGGACACACCTCTGTCTCACACTCGTCCACATCTGGAGGGAGGGCAAGGAGGGATCAGAGCCCTGACTCCCAGGGTCCCACATACAGCACACCTCACCCGGTCTCGTACACATTCTGGCACTCCCTTCCGCCCTTACCCACGTAACATTCCACCCTTTCCCTACCCTGTGCCTATCCCAGCCCCTCTCCATTCATGGTGGCAAGGTACCTGTGCCCCATTGGCAGGAGACTCACCGAGACACTTGGAGCCCACCTGCTGGTAGCCAGGGCTACACTTCTTACAGCGGCCTGGCCCTGCCCCCATGCAGCCCAGGCAGGCCTTGGCACAGTCTGGAGAAGAGAGAGGAGAGAGAAGGTGAAGAGCGGTCCCGAAATCCAAGAGGTTCTGGCGCCAGAGAAGGCAGACCTTTGGGGGGACCAGGTGTGGAGCAGCTCCCCCCACCTCTCCCACATCCCCTCCTCCGCAGGGGTGGACACTCACCTCGGCACTCATAGGAGCCCTCCGTGTTCACGCAGAATTGGTCAGCCCCACAGTTGGCTCGCTCTGTGCCACACTCATCGATATCTACAGAAAGGCCGGCCAGATGGGGAATGTCCATCAGCCCCCCAACAAGGAAGCTGAGACCAGAATCTGTGGCAGAATGGAACTGCCAGGCTCATGTGGTATGGCAGCAAAACTGCAGGCTGCCCACCAACACCGAAGCAGAGGTGCAGCTGGACTCCAGGCTGCCCAGGCAGAGGGTGCATTTTCCCATCTGCCTCGCTACTCAGTATGGCCTGGTAGTTGAGCTCTGGCCAACAGGATGTCAACAGAAGTGACGTGCTCCACTTTTAGCTTGGCTTTAAAACAACAGGCTTGGACTCACCCGTGCACTTCCTTCTCTGTCTTTCTTCCCGAGTGCCAGGTCACGGAGCACAGAAGTGCCTGTGAACTAGCCTCAGCCACAAAGACAACACCCCACGGGATGACTGCACAGTAAGCAAGAAGGAATCTGCGCCCTTGAGTGATTGTGACAAAAAGAACGTCCCTGACAGCCTGGCCCACTTGCTTGGAGACTGTGATTTAAGATAAAAATAAACCTCTGTGTTCTCTAAGCCATAATCTTTGGGGATCTTTTTGTCACAGTGTCTTAGTCATGACTCTCACTTATACAAATGGCTAGGTTTGAGACAGACCGAGTCTCAAACCCAGGTCTCCTGACCCACATTCAATATCCTCATTCCTCTGGCTGACCCCTTCTCCATTTTCCAGACTGGGTCTAAGTGACACCTCTAAGAAGCCTTTCCTGATTCCTTTCCATCACCAAGCTGGATCGGGGCATCTCTCATTGTACAAAGATCGGTCTGTACTGTAGTGCCTGGTTACTGTTCTGCCTTCCCAACTAGGCTGAGATTTTCTTTTCTTTTTTAAAAAAATATATATTTTATTGATATTTTTTACAGAGAAAAAGGGAGAGGGATAGAGAGTTAGAAACATTGATGAGAGAAAAACATTGATCAGCTGCCTCCTGCACACCCCCTACTGGAGATGTGCCCGTAACCAAGGTACATGCCCTTGGCCTGAATCGAACCCGGGACCTTTCAGTTAGCAGGCTGATGCTCTATTCACTGAGCCAAACCGGTTTCGGCCAGGCTGAGATCTCCATAAAGATGGGAACTGTGTGGGTCTAGCCCAGAGATGTGGGCATTGATGGAGAACCAAGCCCAGGCCCATCTACCCCCGCAGACCTAAGGCCCAGCCCCACTCACCCACACACTTGAGGTGATGCAGGGCCCAGCCCCTCTTGCACTGCAAACAGTTGGATTCCTCAGGTCCTGAGCAGCGGGCACAGGGGCCAAAGCAAGCTGGGGGGAATGGCGGGAGTAAGAGAATGAGCAGGCAGGCATCCCATCAGCCCCTGCCCAGCGCCTCACCTTTCGGCTACCTACCCGAACATACCAGATGGCTGGCGTTGCGCTCCACCTCAAAGTAGCCGAGGCTGCACTGGCCACAGGCCTCGCCCCCATAGCCGGCTTGGCAGTCACAGCGCCCGCTGCCCCCTCGAGTCCCTTCCCCTTCGCAATGCCCATAGCCACCGCAGGGCTTCTCTGCACCCCCAGGACAGGCTGTGGGCAGACACCAAACCAGGGGAGATCGTAAAGACAATCTTGTATCTAGAAAATACTAACATTTTTTCTTTAAAGAAAACTTAATTTTAATAGCACCATAATATTTTGTCAGAAATTTACTTAACCACTACTCCACGATGGAACAATTAGGTTATTTACAAATCTTTTATAAAGACCGAATTGATCATCTTTGTCACTAACGCTTTATCTGCAGCTTCTGGAAAGATTTTTCTAAAAGAGGCTGGTAAGTTTAGCTCCTGAGTCAGAACTGTGTGTAGAAAATGTGTGGTGACCATGGGGGCATCAGGACAGCACCAGCCAACTCTAGGAAGGTCCCCTTAGTCCAAGGGGTGGGCCTGGTCTGACCCCAGGCATGGGACATGAGGGGTGGAGGTGGAAGCATTTCTCAAATACAAGATAAAACCACAGCAACATCTGACTCAGTCTAACCACACACATATCTTTTTTACAGAGCCATTCCCCATGGATTTGCTCATCTCATCAGCCCTGTGAGGCAAGGAAGAACTAAGGTCCAGAGAAGTGATGTGAGCCACCTAAGTGCACACAGCCAGCTAGGGGCAGAGCCAGGACTAGAGTCCTGGCCTCCGCATTCCTCCCCCCCCCCCCTTAAGAGAAACTTGGATAATAACTCACGAAGGCAGGAGGGTCCGAAGGTGCCTGAGGGGCAGCAGAGCTTCAGGGAATCGGAGCAGAGCCACTGGAAGAGGTCTGGGGCTTCCTGCTGCCTGAGGCGGGGAGGGGGTGTGGCAGCGAGGGGTCCTTAGTATCAGAGATGCTGCCCACCCCCCAACCTCCCACCAAATCTCCGATACACCCACCGCACAAGACCCCTAAGACCACCTGACCAACGCCCTTTCCTCGTTTGGCAGAGGGACAAACTGGAGCTCAGAGTGAGAGCTCGCGTCCTTCAGCAAATCCTCAGCAGGCCTGGGTTTGGAAGAAGGAGCCAAACAAGGACAAAGCCCCTTGCCTGCAATCCCCTGCTTTACTACCACCTGGCCCTGCCTGCGGCCCCTCCCTGGGAAAGCCCCCCATCACTCACTTGTGAAACCACCAGCTCTCCACCAGCTCCTCGCTCAGCTCCAGCAGGCGATGGCACTCGAAGTCTGACTTGCTGCACACGTTCTCAAGCACCTCTACCAGGCGGGTCTCACTGGCCAGACAGGGCAGACACATCCCATGACACCCACCAGCCTCCTTTTTTTTTTTTTTTTTAATATATTTTATTGATTTTTCACAGAGAGGAAGGGAGAGCGATAGAGAGCTAGAAACGTCGATGAGAGAGAAACATCGACCAGCTGCCTCTTGCACACCCCCTACTAGGAATGTGCCCGCAACCAAGGTACATGCCCTTGACCGGAACCGAACCTGGGACCTTTCAGTCTGCAAACCGACGCTCTATCCACTGAGCCAAACCGGTTTCGGCCCACCAGCCTCCTTAAGGTCTCTCCCACCACTCCTCATGCCATGACAGGGTCAAAGGTTAAGGGCATAGGGCATAAGGGAAGGGATACTGGTTTTGAGTCAGACAGGACTGAGTTTGAATCTAGTTGTATGACCTGGGGCAATTCAATCGCTCTTGAACCTGTTTTCTCTTCTGTAAAATGGGGACACCACCTCCCCTACAGGTTTGTTGTACGATAATTTAGTTCCTGCCTCTGCACAATGGAATATATACTCTTGCTGGGTAGAGTAAAAATATATAACAAGTGTTGGTGAGGAAGTGGAGAAACTGGAACCCTCCTACATTACAGGTGAGAATGAAAAATGGCGCAGACACTGAGGAAAACAGTTTGGCAATTCCCTGATAAGTTAAACACGGAATCATCATAGGACTCAGTAACTGCACTCCTGGATTTGCACCCAAAAGAATGGAAACAGGTGTTCAAACAAAAACATATACACAAAATGTTCACTGCAATAGTATTCACAATAGCCAAAAGATAGAAACAACCCAAACGTTCATCAAATGATGAATGGATAAACAAAATATGGTAAATTCATACAACAGGATATTATTAAGCCTTAAAAAGGAATGAAATATTAATATGTTACATCGTAGATAAACCTTAAAATTTTTGATAAGTGAAACAAACCAGATATAAAAGGCTACACATTATAGGATTCCAATAGAATTAGCAAATCCATAGAGACAGAAAGCAAATTAGTGATTGTCAAGGACTGAGGAGAGAATGAGAAGTTACTGCCTAATGGATGTAGCATTTCTTTTCAGGATAATGAAAATGTTCTGGAACTAGTGGTAATACTTGCATAACACTGTGAATGTATAAAATATCTCTAATGGTAAATGTTATGTGCTGTATATTCTACCTCAGTAAAAATTAAATATACATATACACGCACATAAAATGTATTATATCTTTTAAAGAGTAACTGGCATATAGAAAGAGGTGATTTTAAAAAGCTGCAAAGCCCTGGCCAGTGTTGCTCAGCAGATAGCGTGTCAGCCCGCACTCTGAAGGGCTGTGGGTTCGATGTCTAGTCATGGGCATGTACCTGGGTAACTTCACCTTCTACTAACTCCATTCCAGCCACTTCTCAAATACTCTAAGCTCAGTTTCACTCTGTCCACTTCTCTCCGCTGATTGTCACATAGCTTGCTTCTTCACTTCAGGTTTCTGTCCAAATGCCACCCCTTGACCACCAGGCTTCTCACCATTCTGCAGTCCACCCTGTTTTACTGTTATTCACCTTGTAGGACATTATCTATCGCCTTATTCACCACCTATCTCCTCTACAAGAATGGAAGCCATTTGAAGATGGGGTTTTGCTTGCCTTGTTTACTGCTGTACTACAGATATTCAGTGATATTTGTTGAATGAGTAAGCACTCCCCCAAAGGCTCTCGGTCCCCACTACTAGAACAGAGAGTGGGGGGTGAGCTAGACAAACCCCACTTTCCAGCCCTTACCTGTCTTTGTACTTGGACAACTTCTCTTCTTCCCAGGCAGTATTCCCACCTCCAAAGTTGTCCCGGATGGTTCTCTCCAGGCCCTGGAAATGGAGAACATTAGGAATACCTAAGTACAGAAGTACAGTGCCTGGCACATTCTAGCACTTCAGGATTTCACTGACCAGGAAACAGGCACAGAGGCCATACAATTAGTAAGTAACCAAGTTGGGACTTGAATCCATACAGACTTGCATCCCAGATCTCCCCACTGTCAGCCGCTTGCTACAGTAGCCGGGCGCCTCCCATCAGGCTGCTGCTGGTGCACTCACCTTGTTGAAGCTGTCGACCAGTCCCCGACATGTATGACACGGATGGGGCTGGGTTGGGGGCGAAGCCTGGGGAGGCGGAGAGGGCTGGAGCCAAACGGGGCCTGGGAGGCTGAAGAAGAGACTCAGGCCCCAGATGAGAGCCGGGACCAGGCCCCTTGGAGGTCGCGGGGCCATCTTTTCCCAGGCTGGGGACCTATAGATGGAAGACATGGGTAGGGTGCGCTGGAGGAGCCAGGGGAGAAAGACACGAGTCTGTTCCGATATGCCAGGGGTCTGAGAGCCCAGATCTGTTATTTTAAAAAGGGAGGCAGGCAGGACTGGGATACGGCAGGCGAGAGAGGGTATGGTGGGGAAATGAGCGGGAATAAGTGATCCTCGTTACCGTTGGGGAGGTAGCCTGCACCCCTGGGCAAGGAGGCAAAAGTCAGCCCATTGTTTTAGGGTCTGAAGGTTGGTGTGTTGGGGGCAGGATCAGGGGAATTAGGCAGGATGGGTCTGATTCCAAATAGTGGGGGAGAAGCAGCCGGATGAACGCTTTGTGTGGAAGAGCCGGGATCTGGATGGGGAGAGGAGTCGGTCAGGTTCAGGGCCCGCAGGGGAGGACCCGGATCCCTGTCGATGGTGGGGAGGAGGAAGGGACGACGCACCCAGCCCGCCGCAGGCGCAGAAGGCTGTCTCCGCGGCGCCACCTCCTCCGCCGCCTGCGTCCGACGTGCCACCTCCGCCGCCGCCGCCGGCCCCCGCAGCCCGGGGGGCGGAGCCCGCGCCGCAACCAATGGCGGCGAGCCATATACTATTGCGTCACGCCGCACCAGCCAACCAGAGGCGGCGCCGGGCTGCACCTGTCAGGCTGTTAAAGGGCCGCGGGGACCCGGACCGGACCGCGGGCTGCGCGCCAGGCTGGGCGCTCTGTCAGAGACACGCGTTGGGAGAGACGTGGATAGAAAAATAGCGAGCGCCTTTATTCAAGTCCTGTCCCCCGCCTCAGGCCCCATCTCCAGTCCCGTCTCTCGGGCCCCCGGGGGCTGCAGGCAGCTGTCCAGGGCGGGCTGAAGGGCTCGAGACACTTGCTGCGCCCGGTTCCAGAGCCCCCCAGCGCGGGCGGCGGCGCCGGGCCCCCGCAGAGTCCGCAGGAAATCGGGCAGCTGGGAGGGCAGGGCGAGGACCGGCACGGCGGCGCGGAACAGGGCGGGCACGGCGTCCGGGTGCAGCAGGCTGTCGAAGTAGGCGCCGACGTAGCGGCCCGGCGCCCGGCCCTGCAGGAAGTCGGGCAGCACGCAACTGAGCGAGGCAGCGAAGGCGTCGTGCGGGCGGTGCTGCGCCCCGGGCGCCGGGGTCCCGTCCTGCAGCCACTCCTGGCACAGCGCCACGGCCCCGGGCGAGAAGAGCAGGATCACCATGCCGCCCTCCTGGAGGATCTGGAGCCGCTGGGCGTGGAACCAGGCCAGGGACCCCTGCGCGCTCAGCTCCCGTCGGCTCCACAGGTCCACGACCACGCGCAGCGGCAGCTGGCACAGCGCCGAGGCCAGGGTGCCCACGAGGCGCTCGAAGCCCGCGTCGTCGGCTGAGTACAGGAGCAGAGCGGCGCGGCCCCTGGCGGCCGCTGCGGGAGAAAACAGAGGGAGGGGGGAGAGGGGAAGGAAGATGTGAGATGGCCTGAGGGCCGGCCCGCTGGGGGCGGCCCCCCTGCAGGGCGCTGGCTCACACTCACCCCCAGAGTAGACATCCTCCTTCAGGAGCCTCAGCCACCCTGTTAGGGGAGACGGGGCGGAGGCCAAGGGTGAGCTCAGATGCTGCTTCCTGTCTTTGAACTCCCAGGCCCCATCCCAGTCCTGCCTCTGGGGAATGGGGAGCCGGAAATGACTCACCTTTCACATGGTTCTTTTTGAGGAGGAGGAGAAGGAAAAGCACAGCAGCAAAGAGCAGGCAGGCCAGCCACACCAGGGCCCAGCGCTGGTGGGTATCTGGGAGACCAAGGGGAGGAGATGGGCTAGTTAGAGATCTTACACTTACATTCCACTTCATGAAGGAGAAATGAAGGGACTTGCCCAAAGACCACAGCACTTAGTGTCAGAGCCAGTGTATGGATACAGACCCATCTACTTGGGTGACCTTGGATAAGTGATTTCACTTTCCGTTTTTCACCTCTGTAAAACTGGGATAACAATAGTACCTACTGATAGGATTGTTGTGAGAACTACATATGTTAATACACACATTTTACAGAGAGGAAGGGAGAGGGATAGAGAGCTAGAAACGTCGATGAGAGAGAAACATCGACCAGCTGCCTCTTGCACACCCCCTACCGGGGATGTGCACGCAACCAATGTACATGCCCTTGGCCGGAATTGAACCTGGGACCTTTCAGTCCACAGACTGACACTCTACCACTGAGCCAAACCAGTTTCAGCAATAAAATATTTTTTTAAAAAAATAATTTAGCTCAAACCTTTCCCCTGAACTCCTTACCCCATCGCAGACAGGTCCCTGTTATATGCATTCATGGCTCTGGACACGTACTTTATAGAAAGTGCTTCAATAGCTCACAGCGACCAAATGATTTGGGGCTAATGCCTTTCTAGCCTTCTATGGCTCGGGTGGGGACATGTGTTGTGTCTTGGTGATGCTGGGGTGGCCTGCAAGCCCTCATCGTGGTTTCTGAATGATTGAAGAATGACTCTTTGATTTATCTGGGCCAGAGAAGGACATAGCATGTATTGCCTGCATGAATGGATCCTGTCAAGATTTCAGCTGTGAAGATGAATGGTCATTCTTGTAATACTCACACTTGTCCATGGGGCAGGCCCATAGCGCTCCCAGGTCATTATCCCACAGCTGTAAGACACAAACAAATCCAGGCCCTGGGCCCTCAGCTTATGGTTCAGCACTCACCAAATTCTAGCTAGCCTGATCTCCAAATTTCCAGCCTCAATTATGCATATTTCCCCACACATATAGCTGGTTCTCGTAAGCTACTCTGCCTTTGCTTATGCTGTGCCTGTTGCCTGGACTGTGCCTTCACGCCAGATCTGGCCCACATGCAGAGACCCTTCCTTGAGTTCTCCCTGGAAATCAAGCGCTTAGCACATGTGCATGTTGTTATCTGTTTATAGGTTTTTAGCCAGCAGTGAGTAACTTGGGGACAGGAACTATGCTCCTTCAACTCTTAGCTTCCCCAGGACTGAAAACAAAAGTAGCACAAACAGATGGTGGATGGGTGCTGGAAGGACAGTGAGGAGGCCTCTGTCTGGGAAGAGTAAGTCTCCCCGGTGCCCTCAGGCACAGGAAGAAGTGGAAAAGGTCACAGGCAGAGTGTTAGGGGTGTTGCTCTTGGACATAGGCCACCTACTCACCTGCAGACACTGTCCTGACTGCAGGTCTTGTAGTAACTGCTCTCCAAGGCGAGCTGCCCTCTGCCAAGCCAAGGGGTAGGAGGCTGTCACCTAGGGGCACTGCACCTAGGAGACCACCAGGCTGCATGCAGCTGGGCAGAGTGAGGGGATGGCACTAGAAGTTGGAAGATTTCTGAGAGATCACTGAGAACAGGGCCCAGGTCTGAATCACCCCCATGTGCCCAGAGACCAACACAAAGCCTGGCTCGGAGGAGGGGAAATTGAATAGAGGAAAAATCTGAGGCTAGTTTTGAGATGAAACTGGAGAGGTACATGGAGAAGGGTCCCCCAGCCCTCACCGTAGAGGCTCCACTGAGCAGTGGGGTGCAACCACTGGGTTCCAAGGCACAGATGGATCTGTTGTCCTGGGGGCCTCGTGTCTCCACCAGCAGCATATCATCCTTGGGGGGCCCCAGAGAGTCTGAAAGGGATGAGAGTCCACTTTTGAGACCCAATCTTGCTGGGGGCTGCCATGTGCCCCCTTCATACCTGACCTTCACCCCTAGGAGCTGGCGCTTCCAGGGTTTACCCCTATTGCCATGGCCCTGTCCCAGCCTCCTGCAGGCTCCACTCACCAGACCACAAGCACTCTTGCAGCTGCAGCTTCTCCCAACTGCTCACCTGCTTGGAAGAGGCCAGGATTAGGGGCATAAAGAAAGGCAAGAGTGCCCTGGCTGGTTTTCTCAGTGGTTAGAGCAGCGGCCCGAGGACCAGAGGGTCATGGGTTTGATTCTGGTCAAGGGCACATGCCTCAGTTGCGGGTTTGATCCCCAATCTGGTTGGGGTGCTTGAAGGAGGCGGCCAATCAATATGTCTCTTTCACATCAATATTTCTCTCTCTTTTTCTCCCCCTCCTCCGTCCATTCCACTCTCTCTAAAAATTCAATGGAAAGAGTATCGTTGGTGAGGATTAAAAATAAAGAAAGGCAAGAGCCAAGGCCAGAAAGATCTGAGAAGAGAAGGGATAGGCAAGGGGAGGCCTGTTGGATTGGGGGTTCGGGCACTCTGGGCCTGACGCTGGGCAGGTCTGGGTGATTGGGAGTCACTCCGTCTTTCTCAGCTTCAGCCTTGTGAGGTCATCTGGGCTAACAGGCCTTGGGACCCTAAATTAGCTCTTCTCACATCTGACAAGACACTTTATGCATTCCCATATCACCACCTTCTCAAAGAGGCCTCCCCTGTCCATCCCACTTGAAATTGCAACATCAATCCTCACTATCCTGCCCCAATATCCCCATAGTATTTATATACAATTTAAAAAATCTTCACTAGATGATGTTTTCATTTAAAAAATTTTTTTTTTTTTTTTTTTTTTGAGAGAGAGACATCGATGGGTTGCCTCCCAAATGCCCCTGACCAGAGATTGGACCCAAAGCCTAAGTATATGCCCTGATCAGGAATCAAACCCACAACCTTTTGGTGCACAGGAGGATGCTCCAACCAATTGAGTCACCCGGCCAGAGCTTTATATTAACTATTTTAACTTACTATAATAATTTACTTATTGTATCTATTGTCTACCTTCCTCCACTAGAACATAAGCTCTCTAAGGATGAAAACATTTATTCATTTTATTCTCTGACATTTATCCCAAGTGCCTGAAACAGTTCCTGGCACACAGTAGATGCTCAATAAATCTGGAATAAATGTGTTAATAATAACCCTGTATAGTTGTAGAACAACCCATTATACAGGTAGGGACATAGGATAATGACAGCAATAATAAAGGCAGCTAACATTTGTATTTGTGAAGCGTTTATCTTATTTAATCTTCATAACCACTCCATAAACTAATTACTCTTATCCCCATTAAACAGAGAAGACTGGCCTTCAAAGAGATGGAATGACTGGCACTGCTAAGGTAAATAGTGGAACTCCTAACGAGGAATCCCATAACCGCTTTGCTCCAAGAACCCAGGATAAAGTGGATGCAGAACACAATGTCTTGCCGAAACTGGTTTGGCTCAGTGGTAGAGCGTCGGTCTGTGGACTGAAGGGTCCCGGGTTCGATTCTGGTAAAGGGCATGTACTTTGGTTGCGGGCACATCCCCGGTAGGGGGTGTGCAGAAGGCAGCTGGTCGATGTTTCTCTCTCATTGACATTTCTAGCTCTCTATCCCTCTCCCTTCCTCTCTGTAAAAAAAAAAAAATCAATAAAATATATTAAAAAAAAAAAAGAACACAATGTCTTGTCTGGGGGTCCCTGAGGGTAGGAGGAAGGTCACGGTGCGCTGGCGCCTCCCTCTCACCTGGACACAGAGGTTGGGGTGGCCGTTCAGCAAAGGGAACTCCAGGGCTTCCTGTGGGACGAAAAGAATGAGTGGGGGTGACAAAAGGTGGGCCCCTGGGCTGGCCTTCCTCCTCCGTCCCCCTTACGTTCACAGTGACGTTTTCCCGGG